TATGTTTTACATATGTACTACCTCTCAGATGTGCAACAGCACCTTACATACCTTATCCCTTTAATCCTCACAACTCTCTCATGAGATAAGTATCAATACTATTATTATTTCTCACTTGTAGATCTGAAAATTGATACTTAAAAGAGTTAGAATAACTTGCCTAAGATCACATGGTAAAATCTGCAAAGAAACCTTTTTCTTAAGCAAGATGTATACTGCCTCAACCTTGCTTAAAGACATATTGTCTATACAATGCTTAAAAATAAATAAAATGTGATTCTCTATTTCATATCTCAAAGTAGAATATATTTGTATATTTCATAGTAAGGTCATACTATTTTTGCACACATTTTGCACAAACTATTGGAGAGTTAACCTATACTTTGGACCATAAAATGGGCTAGAAAAGAGAAATAGATGTAATTTTGCTCCTCCACCCTTACCCTGTGGAGAAAAATCGCTGAGTCAAAGAGGTGAATATGGGTAAGCTGTGTAGAAAGGGGGATTTTAAAAGTAATGGCAACAAACCAGTTATGTTTTCTGAAATCGGTAAAATTAAAGAATACAAGAAAATATAAAGTTCTATAGTGGCCTATAGAACCTTTTCTCAAGTATGTTAGCTTTCTTTTTTTTTTTTTCAAATTTGTTAACATTGCTCTGGAGTTTGTTGTTGGTCAAGTGGTCGGTTGAAGATTCCTTGGTTGGTATTTTTATTTTCCCAATGCAGTTCTATGCTTAGAGACCCTCAAGACCCTTCTAAATAATACCCAGAACTAGATGACTCCCTGAAAAACATGGTATAAAACTCAATTGATCGTAATTTTGGAGGATTTTCAGGGAATTATAGAATTTCAAGGGTTCTCTTGCCTCTAATTTCTTGAATGAAGACTTTTAGGAGAATACTAAAGACTAATATGTCCCAAATTATTCTAATTAACAACCAGTTTTGTACACTTGGAAGTAGAGAAGCTGTTGCTATGTTATGACAGAACCTATGGGCTCTGTGTGTGGCTATGACAAAAGGATTACTGTCTTTATAGGACAACCGAACTGTTGCTTATTCTTTGCTTGTATTTTACCACAAAGAAAACATTTAAAACATTTTCCAATTATATTTTATTGTATATAGGTTGTAGACAGACACAGAGATATAAAATGTACTATAAAAAAATCAATGTAATCTTGGGCTATTTTAATTGTTGTATATGTTAGACTGGAATGAAATTAAATCTATAGTGATATTAGCAAAAATACTATTGTAAGACTTAAGAAAAATTCCATGAAAACAGCCTTGATTTGCTGTGGCTTACTTTTCATTCTGGTGGGTAGGGAAACAAAATAGTAGATAATTCTCAGTGATATTCAATTGCCCAAAAGAATCAGTAGTAAAACTATTGAGGCTAGCTCCATTTTAATTAAAATAGATAACTAAAGAATTAATCCCTGTATGCAGAATTAAAGCATGTTCTGTCAATAAAAGTAGAAGTAAAATTTACATTCACTTTTTTCTTATAGGTTTAAGTGATTGTAGAAAAGCTAGTAACTGGAGCAAATTTCCATTTCAAATGCCACCACCTTTTAAAATAACTGATTAAATATTAAAATATCTGACCCAAATCACACAAAAATGCAATAGAGTATGTTTCTTTGTAATAAGAAATATTTCATAAAATGTTTTGATTTTTCCAGAAAAACATGCCCTCTTTTCAAAGAAAAGCACTGCCACTGTGTTGTTGTTTGGTATAAATGGTTTAAGATAAGCAAAGCAAGAAATTTACCTGAACAGTTTTTTAGCTACTCCATCATCTTAAAAAAAAAGGGGAGACAGGGAGAATTGCTGTCATTAGCAGCATATTTGATAGATTTTCCAACAGAAAGTAAATCTTGATTGCAGCCATTTCTTGCCTTTGGGACGTGTTCCCACAGAGATATGTTCATTTAATTCAATGCTCAGGCATGAATATGGTAATTATCCATTGAGGTATGTTTATACCCCTCTAGAACACCGTTATAAAGGGTATACCCCTACCAGTCCTCTAGTGTAGAGTACAAAGGGATTGCCCAAAGTAATCAGTACAGCCTAAAGGCATGAATAGAATACAACAAAATACAGTAATTCTTGGATGACTGAAAAGGTGTCAAAGCATTAATTATCATTCAATTGGAGAAACTCAGGTGCTTTATTTAAAATATTTATTTAAAAGTAATGGCAACAAACCAGTTATGTTTTCTGAAATCGGTAAAATTAAAGAATACAAGAAAATATAAAGTTCTATAGTGGCCTATAGAAACTTTTCTCAAATATGTTAGCTTTCCTTTTTTTTCAAATTTGTTAACATTGCTCTGGAGTTTGTTGTTGGTCGAGTGGTTGGTTGAAGATTCCTTGGTTGGTACTTTTATTTTCCCAATGCAGTTCTATGCTTAGAGACCCTCAAGACCCTTCTAAATAATACCTAGAACTAGATGACTTCCTGAAAAACATAGTATAAAACTCAATTGATAGTAAAAGATCGTAAATTGATTTAAAAGATTTTTTCATGGGACAAAAATACTGTATAACTAAATTTACTTAACTTGAGTCAGATGACCACAATTTCTATTTTACAGTTGGATTCTATAAAATTAATGTATACACAACTTACAAATGATTGAAGGGTTATTATTGTGAATAAAGGTGATTTTTTCATATTTAAATTTATAGCATATAAATTTGCAAACTTGTCAGGCTCCATAATAAATATAGCTGCATCAAAGACACAATAAGAGTGAATATATACAATAACATAATGTATATATAAGCACACTTTCAAATTAGATTTAGAGACATAAAGATATTTTATCAAAAACATCAAAGCCTTGGTATCCAAAAGAATTTTCTTAATAATTATGTGAAATTAAATACTACTTAAGAATGCAAAAAAATTTTGTATAAAATTGCTTATTGATTACATATTCAAGAAACTTCAAAAAACATTTTGGGTGATATTTTTATTTTGGGACTTAAATGGATTGAGGATTTGTTGGTTATTTTTTTCATATTTTGTCATACTCCATAATTTTTACAAATTTCCTAAACCCAAACTGACCATATTACTCAAATAAAATGTCAGCATATAGTTGGATACTAAGATAAACTTCTAACAATTGGAACTGTCTTGAAAAAGCCAGGATTTATGGTCAGCAAACCTATCTCTGACCTATAGGTATAAATTAAGACAAACAGTAAACACAGTCAGTTTAAAGATAATGGGTTTCCTATGTGTCCTGATCAATTGTCACCAAAACCAAATTGTGTGTACTTACACACAGAAATACATGCATATATATTTAGCCAAGACTAAGAAGAAGTAGTTTACAAATATGGTTCAGAGACACTTAATATAAATGTTTCTTAAAAATATGCAATTACATATTCTCCATATAGATTAAATACCTGAAAGATTCTCTCTAAAATGTAAGTTCCCATCAAAAGTCATCCCCAAATCCTCTTGCAACAGATAAAGTTATCATAAAACCCACTGATGAATTTTACCCATCAGGAACTATCCCACAGGGGCTCACTCAGAGTGCATACTCTTAGCACAAACACTAAGCTGATGAGCTTGGATCAATGGTGTTCTCACCCCAACAGACTGAAGTAAGAATGGGAATTGGGTGCAAAAGAAGCAGCCACAATGATCCTATTAGCATATACAGCTGTATGTTTTGGAGATACAGAAAGCAGACACAGGAACTCAGAAACTGTCTCTTGAGTAGGGCCCAACTGTCTTGTACACATCAGTAAATTCCAGGGGTACTACTGCACCATATGTAATATGATAATTGGTATTCATTTTGCTGTTCTCAAGAAAAGGTTATACTACATTTATAAGTCCCTCATCTTCTTGGGTAAGATGGGATATCTGTGGTTCATTTTGGAAAGTACATCTTGTAAAGGATTTGGTTATGCATAAAAAACCATACTTATGTTTCCAAACTATTTTTTTAATTCAAAACAAATATAAACTGACCACTAGCCCCATCCATTGCAGTCTCTGTTCTCAGCCTTGTGAATACATAGTGAATAACATTGATCAAAAGTCTATCTTTGATGAGTTTACAGTTATGTGGGATAAAGAAGCAAGGAGTCCTGGCAGTTCACTCACAAATCAAGTGTGTATGAAACACAGAAATGTTCTGTATTCTGTATTGGTGAGAATATAAATTGGTGTAGCTACTATGGAAAACAGTTTGGAGGTTCCTCAATAAATAACGAATGGAACTGCCGTATGACCCAGCAATTCTACTTCTAAGTATATATCCAATGAAATTAACTCACTATCTCACAGAGATACCCGGACCCCCAAGTCAATCGCAGCATTATTCACAATAGTCAGCATATTGAAACAACCTAAGTGTCCATTCATAGATGATGGTTAAAAAAGATGAAATAGTATTCAGCCATAAATATGGAAATCCGTCCATTTGTGACAACATTGATAAACCTTGAGGATATTATGCTCAATGAAGTAAGCCAGAGAGAAACGATTACTATACGGTCTCCCTTATAGGTGAAGTCTAACAATATGTAACTCATGGAAACAGACTAGAATGGCCATTGCCAAGAGCTTTGGGTGAGGAAAATGGGGAGATATTGATAAAAAGTACAAACGTTCAGTTATGAGATGAATAAGTTTGGGGAATCTAATGTGCAGTATTGTGACTATAGTTAACAATTCTGTATTATATATTAAAAAGTCACAGAGAGTGTAGATCTTAAATGTTCCCACCACAAAAAAGTAGTTATTATGTGAGGTGATGGAGGTGTTATCTAACCTTAGTCCTATAATCATTTCTCTATAAATGTGGAGCAAATCATCCATCACACTGTATACCTTAAACTTACACAGCATGTCAATTATATCTCAATGTATCTGGAAAAATACTTTGGGATTCCAAAAGCCGGTCCAGAGAACACCTTGATATTTCTAAATAAAGATTAATTTCTGAAAGATACTGACCTGATTCTGATCTGTAAAATGAGGCTTCACCATCTGTAAAAAAATGAAAAAAATAAAAACAGATCATTTTATACTTCTCTATAGCATATTTTTAAGTCAATGAGAGTAATGTTCTTGTTTTCATTATTATTTTCGATTCAATGTAAGCAATCTACTTTTTGTATCCAATAATTTGTTACATTTCAATACTAATTTATTATTTTGGAGATTTTAATTATTAAATAACATCTATGTAGATCTAAGTAATACATTTATCTGTTAACATACTTAAATCAAAGTTTTCAATGTCAACTCATTTCTGGAACTACATGGTCAAATAAACCCACAAATTAATATTATCAATACTTTATATCTTTTTTACACTATTAAAATCTTTTACAGTTTTCAGTCTAAAGTGTATTTTTATCTAAATTTCACCAGATTTTATTTTCCCTAAATAATTTGTAGGTAATGTGTTTATAAGCAGCAATTGGTTTTACAAAAGAAAAAAGAAAATCAACCATGTAGATTTTAATCTGCTGAGAAGATGAAATATCCTAGGAAAAATAAGAATTAAATATACATATCTATTTCATGTCAAACTACATCTTATATCACTGGAGTTTTTCCTCTAAACCAGGGAACTGTTTTTTTATTTTTCTTTCTTTCCCTACAGTTATGGTTAGTTCAACAATACAAATTTTTCTTCTGCTTGATTATATGGCTGTCTCTTCAGTATCTGCCTTCTTCATCTGCTCCTCTCAAGCCTTACCGCGTGGTAACCTGCTGGCAATGAACGGCGTCTGCGTTTGGAACATAGCCCTCATCGGCAACGTGCAATAAAAAGTCACTTTAACTAAAGCACTTTGAGTTTCTACAAAGAGCAGTTCCATGTATTTCCTTATTTCCTACTGTAAGCTTATAAATACATATATAAAAAACTCAGAATTTTGTCAGTAAATCACCATCTATGAAATTTCTGTTGGAATACTTGTAATCATTTCTTAGAATGATTATGGATATCTAGGAATTTATTTTTAGAAGCATTCTCCAGTTCTCTAGTGGATTTAATGTACTTAAGTATATTTAAAGCACTTTTATTGTGATACATAATTTAATAAATTCTTTGAAAATAATATGTTTTCATTCTGTTACTTAACAAATAAGAAATACATTTAAGTAAAGGCAAAAATATTTCGAATTTTTTCAAAGTAGAAGCAAAAATATAGCAAAGTCCTATATAAGGTTATGAAAATCACCATTATTGAAAGTAACCATTTTCTAATGGTCCATCAGATGATTTCCCGGGCTGTTAAAGAGTAGAAATATTTTCTCTGAAAACAAATCATTGTAGTCCCCTCTATTATGACTTCTCAGAGAAAGGTAAATTGTACCTTACTTCGAAATTTAGAAAATACATTTTAAATGAAGATATAGAATAAATCTTTTTTTTGGAGATCTTTCTCCTTTGTTTGGATGTTACTGTTTTTCTGCCCTTTTTAAAAACAGAACTAAAGATTTTTTCATTTTGTTCAATTTTTAATTAACAAAAGTAATTAATTAATAATGTCTTACTTTTCAATTAATTTCAGAAATTAGATAATTGACTGTCTGAAATAGCCCAGAGAGATGTTAAAGAAACTTTCCCTACAAAAATTTTTTTTGGTGATGCACCAGTCTTTTATATAGTGATATTTTCATGATTTGTGAAAACAGCAATTATTAACAGTGCAGGTCTTTAGTCTTAAAGTGGCTTTAACTTCAACATAGCCATTAAAGGATACTCTGTGATGAAAATGAGTAACAAACAATAGCATCATATGCATCTTGAGTAACTTATTACTCACTCAAATATATATGTTTATACATAAATATATATCTCCTTAACACAGGCTTGTTAAAGCTGAAATAATATCCTATAGGATGAAATTCCAGTTGTTTTTTTTTTTAATGTATTATACTACTCTGAAATGTAGGAAAGATATTCTAAGGAGAAAAATGTTGGAAGTAGAAAACACCAAGCATTTAAAAATATATCATACATGAGTCTACCAAGTTTCAGAGAATTCTTTCAATTAGTCCCTTACCTTTGCAGAGGACACAAAGTGTCACAACCAAGTACAAAAAGACCAACTTCATGGTAATGATTTGGGAACCTAGAAATGGAGACAAGTCATCCTGGAGAAAGAGATGCTCAAGGGGCCCTGAAAATAAAGTTTTTATACATAGTCACCTACCAGTGTTTTTCATCTTGGGCTAGGTGTGGTAAACTTAGTGATGACAGAACAAAGATAAATATCATAGCATGCCAAAGATGAAATCCATTCACCTCCATTTAGTGTCTTATTTATGTGACATCTTCTATCTTGGACCAAGTCCAGTTCATGCCAAACCCAGACCATGCCTTCCTGCCGCCCTGTGCAAACAGCAAAGGCAGGAACTAAAAGCCTCAGGATTAGACACCAAACATGTTGATTATATATATTGATCTGTACTCTATTCATCATTGCAAAAGTCTTAATACCTCAAGAAACTCAAATATTATAATTCAATATTTCAATTGTCTCTCCCTCGACAACAAATGTATTTTCCACATTAGGCTACTTTGAAACAAAGAACTCTTTATTTATTGCTATGTCGATAGGTATTTTTCTAGAGAAATATATAACTATCATGTAGATATAGGCGTATGTGTAGACATACTAAGATGTATAAATGCATCATGGTTATAGTCGTAGCTTTATTACTCACAGGATACATAATACTCCAATGAGATACATTTTTATCATTAACTGTATAATCAAATATATAAATAAATATGACATGAAAATAAGAACAGAAAAAAATGTTTTATGACAAAAATAAAATTAAATAGAAAATACCATGTATGAATTGTCTGTTTAGGTATTCTAGAGCAGAGGGAGGACGTTCAGGTTAAGATCTAAGAAGAAAAGGTCTGGTCTGTGCTAAGCAAGGCAGAGGAGAGTGACAAAGGAATTGGCCAGGTGGACCTGAAAAACAGAAGGGCTCCCTGGCTTTGATGATAATCTGCTTCACTTCTGCTACCAGTCACTACAAAGAAAAACCTTCAGTAGCCAAATGGAAAGCAATCCTGTTTATTCTTTCCAGAAAAGCAGAAGAATGCCAGGAAGGGGAAATAAAAATATGGACCAACAACCCTTTCCTTCCACTTTATTCCCTCATTTCTTGACTAATTTAAAGGAAGTCAATGATGTTTACCTTCTCAGGGGGTCTCACCAATACGTATCAAATGCTTTTTACTCATGTGCTCCTTGCTCCAAGAAGGTGGGATTTCTTTTTCTTTTTATTTTTTACTAAAAATAAGAAACAGATTTTTATTTAAAGACTTCAGTTGTGCTGTGACCTTTGCAGAAGGCAAAAACAACCAAACCAAAATGAAATTACACAAAAACAACCTAACAAAAACTGAGGCTCCAGAAACGCATTCTCAGCAGCCAATTATTATAATTATCCTTAGTCTCAAAGGCCATTATTTCAGGAATTAAGGAAATGAACATATCCAAAAGCAGTTTCTAAGGCACAAATGAGAGTGAGCATCAGAGTGCAGAGCCAAGGGGTGGCAGCTGTCTGGAAACCAGGCACAGGGCACGTTCTTTACTTTATTGTCCATGAACTACTTGGTTTGCTCAGCTTGGCCCATCAATGCCCCATTTAGCAGCATCCTGGACTCATTAATCCCTCTGATTTATGATTATCCGGCATCAGGCTGCTCTTTAAAAACTAATTTTTTTGCTCTTACCACAATTTTTTCCCTTTTATTCAATTTATTGGGGGGGGGGGCATTGGTTAATAAAATTATATAGATTTCAAGTGTATATACAATTCTATAATTGATCATCTGTATATCATATTGCATGTTCACCACCCTGCATCAAGTCATCAAGTCTCCTTCCATTGTGACTTATAACCCCTTTATCTTCTTCTAAGTCCCCCAACCCCTTTCCCTTTGGTAATCACCATGCTGTTGTCTGTGCCTATGAGTTGTTGTTGTTGCTTTGCTCAGTCCCTTCACCTTTTTCACCCAGCCTTACAACCACCCTTCCTTCTGACAGCTGTCACCTCGCCCTCTATGAGACTATTTCTGTTTTGTTTGTTAGTTCATTAGATTTCACATATGAGTGAAATCACATGGTTTGTCTTTCTCTGACTGGCTTATTTCACTTAGCATACTGCTCTCTGGGTCCATCCATGCTGTCACAAAGGGTAAAAATTTCTTCTGTTTTCAGCTGAGTAGTGTTCCATTGTGTTAATGTACCACAACCTTTTTGTCCACTAATCTACTGATGGACATTTGGGCTTTCCAAATCTTGGCTATTGTAACTCTGCAAAGAACACAGGGGTGCATATAGTCCTTCAAATTAGTATTTTGGGTTTTTTCAGTATATTGCCAAAAGTGGAATTGCTGGGTCATGGAGCAGTTTTATTTTTAACTTTTTGAGGAACCTCCATATTGTTTTTCCATAGTGATTGCACCAGTCTGCATTTCCACCAACAGTAAAAACAGTTCCCGTTTCTCCACATCTTTGCCAACACTTGTTGTTTGATGAGTTATTGTTGATAGCCATTCTGAAAGCTGTGAGGTGATATCTCCTTGTGGTTTTAATTTGCATCTCTCTGATGATTAGTGACACTGAACATCTTTCCATGTATCTATTGGCCATCTGTATGTCCTCTTTGTAGAAGTGTCTATTCAGGTAAGGTGGGATTTCTTTTATCCTCGAAGAATCAGGGAAAATTTCATGTAGAGAGTAGTTTAAGGACTGAAGCAAGAAAAGTAAATAGGACTGAGATATAGAGAATCAGGGAAGGATTCCAGATGGAAAACACATTATGAACAAAGTCAACTACAATTTTAAATATCCTGAAGTCTCAACACTAACTTCTCTTTCCAGATCACTTGTTCTGGTAGTCTACTTCCAACAATCTACTGGCTCCCCCCTCCTCTCAACAATTCAGATACCTTCTTACAAGACTTAAATTCTATGGTTTATCATTATTTCCTTGCATGAACCTCTAATTCCCTTGACCCTATCTATACTTGCTTGGCAAAATCCTAACCATGGTTTAAATTAAATTTTTTTTAGCTTTTCCTTACCTGTACCATGTAGATGAACACAACAGGATAGAAATACACAATTATGCTAACTTAAACTCCTAAATTTAATATCCAAGTGTGCCCTCAGATAATCAGGCAATTATATTTTCTAGTCCATTTGCTTTTCTTGTTAATAATTTATTTATTTATTTTTAGAGAGAGCAAGGGAGGGAGAAAGAGAGGGAGAGAAACATCGATGTGTGGCCACTTCTTGAGCACCCCCTACTGGGGACCTGGACCACAATCCAGGCATGTGCCCTGACTGGGAATTGAACTGGTGACCCTTTGATTCTCAGTCCAGTCCACTGAGCCACACCAGCCAGGGCTTTAGTTCATTTGCTTTCACACTCTTCTACTTCATATTTTCTGTCTTCTCTAATATCCAATATTTCCTTCTAATCACCCCTCTTAGTTAATTTTTAAACTTAAAGTCACTTCCAAACTTTACTGAATAAAATAAAAGCTATCAAAAGAGGAACTCCACAAGCTCTCATTCCCACAGATGCCTATTTACTGTCACTTGTACCGTGTACTCTGCCTCCTTTCTTAATACAGGTGAACTCTCTGTACTGTCACCTAAGGTCCCCTCCCATTTGTGTACTGGATTCCATCCAACAACATTAAGCCAATAATTTCTTCATCTCTACCCTTATCATCAAGGTTTCTCTCCTTTGGATTATTCCCAACAGTATAAACACATCCTGTTATTTGTTCTTACTTTTCAAAAAATGTAATAATTATAATAAAACAAAAGATTTTATGGTATCTGAATTATATCTCAATAAAGCTCTTATTTTTAAAAACCGTTGAACTCACTGCCCTTTCAGATCTCTTCCCATTTCTCTGCTCCCCTTAATGGTGAAACTTTACAAAAGACTTACTTGTGCTCACTGGTTCTACTTCCTGACTTCTCATTAGCTCATGAACTAATTCAACTCTTGTTCAGTTTTCACTCCATCACTACATTACACAAAATGTGTTCCTGTCAAGACACTGGTGATCTCCTTTTGTGAATCCAATGGTCAGTTTTCAGTCTTTTTGTTGACCTCTTAACAACATTTAATACATAGTTGATCCATTCTTCTTTCTTGGTACACTTTGATTTCTGCAAATTCCAGGGTGTTTTCCTATTTCATTGGCTGCTTCCTCTTATTCTCCTCTTGCTGAACTTCTTTCATTTTATCTCCATTCCTTTTCATAAATAATTTTTAGTTTTTCAATTATAGCTGATGTATAATGTCAGATTAGTTTCAGGTGTACAACCCAGTAATTAGACATTTATATAAATTGTGAAGTGTTCCCCCATGTATTTGCTCCCTGATTTAGACAAATTTATTGGAGTCTAATGCCTCTTTCTTCCTCAAACCACTCCTAGGACTTCACTGCAGATTATTCTTTTTTTACCTTCTAAGGTTTCAAAGTATCCATAATTGACAACATTATAACAGAAAAGTATTTTCCAAGGAATTGAAACTCTAAACTCAGCAAATGTTAAATATGGTTCTTAAAAGAAAAATTATTTTACTAGGAGGCAGACTCATTTTTTTCTTCCGGAACTTCTCACTGTGTATCTGGTTTTTACAAGCGATTTAAGTACTGTGACTCTTTGGTAATAGTATAACAACTGTATAAAATCATCTAATAATATGAAAATAGTTTAAAAGCATATTCATCAAAAAAAATACTGAAATGTTTCCTTCTTGATTTAAAAGGATGTGGCTTAAGTGTGGGTACACTTAATGATACACTGTCAGAGGAAAGGTCAACAGTCAAAAGAACAATAGCACAAGTATGGACAAGATAGTTTGTTTTTTCAATAACAGTTGTACCAGAAGGAAATACAGAAAATGTTAAACAGTATCTATTTGGAAACAGTATCTATTTGGATTCCGGAACAAGAAGTTCCCTACTTTCTCATATGTTATGATCTGAAATTACACTAGAAAACTGAGTGTCTGAAAATTAGGAGCATTTTATATAAGAAGTTTCATACCAAGAGAAATAAGAATATAATTACATTTTAATAAATAATATTTAAATGGGTATAAGTATTTAAACAAAT